TTAGAAAGGTTAGCCTTCATTTGCCCCTTCTTCTGGCATTGATCAAAGCAACCAAAACAGTCTTGGTGCCAAAACTAACTCAGGAATCAGATGATTGAAATACATACAGAAAAATGGTTACATTGAAGAGGAACTGACTTTGGTCAGGCACTAACCAGAACCTTACTAAAATAGGAAATACAAGTGACTGAAAGGTAGTTGGAAATTTCAGGGTCTAGGAAGGCTTGTGCAGAAGTGGCTGCTAGGACAGATTGATTTAAATCAAGGTGATTTAAATAATGATTTGAATAACAAAAGGGATTATTCTTGGTGATACTATTTCATATGTTTCCTCAGCAATTGTGCAGATCTGTCCAGAGCTTAGCACTACCCTCACAAAAGGAAATTAGTGATGAAAAATGAAATACACATACACAGAAATAAGGTCAGATAGCTACTGTATAGACTGGATCAGTTTATTGTTATTTTTTGTGAAAATTGAATACCAGTGTTTGGTAGGTAGAGTATAAATATTCATCTATTAGAAAGGACAAGTTATATGGAAAAGTCTCCTTTAATCTGGTAGAAGGTACTGATTCAATTTAGAAACTAATTTCATGGCTAGCATGCTTATATTCAGATTATTTAATATTATCCTAGCTTTATTTAAGAGAAACTAGGTATTTACATTTATAAGATAAATCTGATTTAAATTATTAAACCTGGTTTTTAATTTTCTAGAAAGCATTTGTTTTTATCCATTCTTCCGCTAGAGGATGAAGTTCTTTCCTTCACACCTGGCATAGAAATGCAGCTCTCTGATTCTCCTCTGCCAGCCCTTAGCAGGCTAGCAAGTTTCATTCTTTGCAAGCTAGTAATATTTTTTTGGTTTAATTACTAGGCTGAGGTATGTGGATTAAGTATGTGGGTTTGTGCCAATGTCTTCAGTTGTTGAGAAAAGAGTGAGAATTGTGTGGCAAAGTATTTAACTGTTTTTAAGGGCAGAGACAAATGCGAATTCTTGTTAATTTATCCTGTTAGTTATGTTAGGCTTAGAAATATTTGGTACAGCCTTGCTGCTTTTTCTTGTCAGACACAGAAACCAATGTTGTACAAGTTTAAAAGTGAACCAGCATAATGATCATAACGGAAGTTCTGTCATAATAGAACTAGTGTTTAGTTCAGTACTTGCAAGGAGAAGCAGGTGGCAGAATAACACAAATGATTTTATATATTTCAGAATCAAATGCTTTCTCTTCAGTCATTGCTGTTTGTTTGCTTCCTTCCTCTACTCTAGTTATTGTGCCCACTCTAAGGCAGCTGCCTCTGGTCATTTTGCCAACTTATATTCTTCAAGCATTGCTTTCCTCTCTTTCAACAAAGGGAAGGAAGTGAACTGTCTACTGTAGCACTCTCCCCTTTTATTTCTGGATTCTTTTCATTTCATTTGTGAAAGCAACAGTCATATAGGCTAGTTTTAGTGGAATGCACGGTAAAATACAGACTACAGGGGTACACCTATTAACTGGGAATAAAATATTGACTCCTTCCCTGTCTTCTAAGCAAAAAAAGTTATTTTCTCAATCACAATTAAGACTGTATTCAGCTGACCTAATAAGACTATATTCAGCATTCAGAATAAATTTAGCCAAATAGAGTATTTTCTTTCAGCAAAAAAGCTTCAAAAACTTACTTTTCTGAGAGGGGAAGTTCTGATATAGGAAAGGGCAAAATTCTAGTGATGAGACCCACCTTCTTCCCCTCTCCACCATGCCTTTTCCCCTCCTCTCTGTAGCCTATTTTAAATCTTGACAAGACAGCCAACATGGTTCTTTCTGTGCCAGAAGGTGAGGAAGCTTATTCTTTGGAGTTCCACCTCCGAGCTCGGACTGCAAATATTTCTATGCTCACCCCAAGATAATGTTAAGAAGCCATAGGACTTCACACTAAGTTTACTTTTAAATATCTTAAATTTTAATACATTTATTAACAAACCAAGTTATACATTAAACAATTTATGGTGTAATCATTTGCATGTTGAGACAGGAAAAAAGTCTTGCAACTCCTAGCATTCCTAGCTAGCTGGAATTTGTAGGACTTTTTTTCTGTCTGAAGATGAACAGGATTGTGCCCTTGAGGAAATGGCACCTCAGCCTCCTAACCAGCCTCTCTGCGACACTTCATCTGGTGAAAAACTGCTGTCCAAATGAATTCAGGGTGTGAGGCATGGCTGTGACAAATACTACAATTACCTCGCTTTATGCATTGAATGCATCTAAGCCTCTGAGTTTGAACTTTTGCTCACATTAGGGTGAGGGCAATAAGATTATGCACTTAGTAAATTCATAATTATTCATACACCCCCTCCCCCGTGCTATATATTTAACTGTAACGCATAGGGTGTTGGTGAAATCTATTAAGAATGGACATGAAACACAGTCAACACCTTTAAACAATCTCAAATTATTATTTAAAGAGTAACAATGGATTCTCTTCTATAAATAAGTCTCCTTAAAAACATTAATTTTTGTTCAGTTTGTAAGGATTTTTCTGTAGTAGTAGCAATCTCATCTATAGGAACCAGGCTGCTAAATTTCTTTTAGGTACAGAGGACTTGTTAAAGGTTTTATAGCTGAGGTAATATTTCATAACAGCAAGTTCTGTTTGAGATGTATTTAAATCAGGGGTGTCCAACCCATGGCCTGGGGGCTACATGTGGCCCAGAAAGGCTATGAATGCGGCCCAGCACAAAATCGTAAACTTACTTAAAACATTATGAGATTTTGGGGAGGGATTTTTTTTTGTAACTCGATTGCACAGTTCTCCAGTGTGTACTTTGTAGACGACAATGTTGTGTCGCAGTGTCATGTAAAATAAACGTATCTATGCTCTCACTAGTTGTACACATGTGTGGCTTCAGTTTTATAGCAGTCTGTGACATCCAGTGTGTTATCTTCCAAGCACAGACAGTCAAATTTACACCATCAAACATTACATGTACTCATGGTGACTTGGCAAGTGAAATGCAGCTATTATCAATCATCTTTCAACCTACCGTTGCAAACAATTTTATACATTTTGACATGTTGGCTAAACACAGTCCTATGGACAGTGAAAAATATGCAGCTTTGCTTTTCGATTTGCTACAAGAATTTGAAAACAGATTTCAAGATTTCTGGGAAAATAAGCACTATTTTGGTATATTTGCGACTCCATTTTCAGTTGACATAAATACCGTTACCTGCCAATTTTCAAATGGAATGTATAGAACTGCAATCTGACATTCAACTTAAAGAAAAAAAATGATCACAGACTTTTAATAGGTCCTGTCATCCCAGAGACAAATATCCCTTGCTTCACAGTAATGCCTTATTCATGTCTTTGCTTTTTGGAAGCACCTACATTTGTGAGCAACTATTTTCAAGAATAAAGCACACTAAGAGTAAAATTAGAACCAGAATATCTGATGAGCACCTTGAGAACTCACTGAGAATTGCAACTACTTCCATCACACCAAATATTGATCCTTTAGTTTCTCAAATATGTCAAATATCCCACTAGTTTTATGTTGCCCTCTTTTCTTTTACTTTTATAATAAAAAATAAATCAGTGAAGTTTTATTACTTAGATATGTTCATTTTCTCTATAAGTGATCGCAAACTTTGGACTTGCTCGACAATTTTAAAAAACTCTCTGAATGCGTCGCCACATAATTAGGATTATGTGAGGACTTTTTTGCTTATCTGTGGTGGCAGATATCACGAAAATTATGCAGACTTTTTTTGCTTATCAGCTTTTGTTAGTGTTTGTGTATTTAATGTGCAGCCCAAGACAATTTTTTTTCTTCCATTGCAGCCCAGAGAAGCCAAAAGGTTGTTCACCCCTGATTTAAATGATGGCAGTGAGTTTCATAAACCCACCTTTTCAACATTTTTATTTTTAAAAAGCTTAGGTGAAATAACATCAGGTGTATGGAGCTACATTAATTGACTGCTATGCTTGCAACCAGAACAAGCCTAGGAACACAGGGATCTACAGAACAAAACCCAAACTGTGAAAAATGCACATTTTCTTGACATGCTATGCTCTGGTCTCTTTAGTCATATATGGGAAAATGTGCATGTCTTCAGACATCTCTGAAATGACGGTCATTAAAAGATCCGTTAGTCCAATAATCATAGTAAGAAATAGTAAGAAATGGAAGAAATAATTATACTGGAAATCTTAAAGAATTAAAACATTTTTCATATGGCTTCAGGTTTTCTGGAAATTTTAACCTTTGTTCTTTATGTAGTTTTTAGATATCAGCTTTGGGAATTGTGACTGGCTATATAAACACTGTGTTTTTAGCGTTCTAAAAGAAAATACTTTGCAATCTGAAAATTTTCATTGTTTCACTTTTGGAAACAAAGTTCTTGAAAAGGAAGAAGTCCCCAGTTCCTTTCCATCAGTTTTTGTTTCTTTTCCCATGTCTTCAAATCTCTATTTGAGTGGGGTTTGGGGAGAGCATCACTCAATTTGATGACCCGCAAGCTAGCTTATTGACAATACAAAAGTTTTTCATTTATGTAGCATGTTTGTATTGTGTTTTCTGCTAAAGTGTTTAATGCTCCAAACATAATTTCATTTATAAAATAGCTCTTTTGCCAGTTTAGTTTTTGAATTAGGTCTGAGTAGATTAGCTCAGAAAATATTTTTTAGAATTGCTACAGTGTATATGATTCATCACTTCAATGTAAGCATAAACAAGAGGCATAAACCAAACCAGAAAAAAATATGCTTTTAAACTGAAAATTAGGTACCATGATACGTGCACTGTTGTTTAATAAGGACATGTTCATTTTCCCAAAACAAAAGTTAAATAGTATATTGTAAAACATTGATTCTTATTCAACATTACTCATTATGTACCCATTAAAGGTAAAATAGCCATAAAGAATGGCTTTATAAATAGCTGTAAAGTGCTTGTAAAACATATTTTGTATAATTATAAAGTATGTCCTTTTTTTCCCTCCTCCCAGGCTGTTGGCTGCTATGAATCGCTAATATTGAAAGCAGAAGGAAAAGTTGAATCTGATTTCTTTTGCCAGTTAGGTCACTTCAACCTCTTATTGGAGGATTATCCAAAAGGTGAGTCCATTATCATTTCTTTTCAGTTGTCTTTGCTTGGGATCCCAAGTGTTTCAGTACACACAGTGAGGCTTCCACCTACAGCCAAGTTTTCTCCTCCCACATTGAGTAATTCTACCAAGAATTTTAAAGGCATTTTACCAGTGGCCTTTAGAATGTCTTTGGTAGGAACACCTCAGAATGATTGCACTTAGGGGAGTTTTCTGTAGTCTTTCTGGGTCCCTCCTGTAAAATATGTAGAGGACTATCATATGGGAATGCAGCAGTTGTGAAAATGTTCAGGGTAACATATGGCAAATTCAAAGGGGATTTTTCAATTTAAGAATAAAAAGGTATTGTTCATATCTTAGATTGCAAATATTCTTTGTTCAGCATACCTTGGAAATAAGTTTTTAAAGTTTCAATTCTGCATTTACTATTAGAAGATAAGGTTCAAATGAAGAAACATATTGTATATGTATGATATTTGTATGTTAAATAACAAGGGCAGTCCTAAATGTTTATTGTAAATCATATTTATTATGGAAGGTTATAGTCCTGAAATACCATGATGTATCTGCATAAGGAAGTCCTATTGTTGACTTTGGACTCCCCAACTGCATTCATAGCATATGCTTGACTGAAGTCTTGAAGTATGCAACATATGTTGAGAATTGGAATGACAATACAGATTCTTAAGGTATTTTTTTTCTATAGAGGGAAAGCAAAAGAGACATAAATCAACTGGTTGTGTTTATTTATTAGAAAAAGCCCAATAGCCACAGTGTATATTTTTGTTTGTTCTTAAAGGTGTTCTGTGGCACAGAAAAGAAAGTGTTCATATCTACTAATGCAGTTAGTAAAATAAAAGGATGAATAGCATAGGAAGCCACAGCCATGAGATCAGTTATAAAACCTAATGTCCTTGTTACTGTATTAACACTTTACTTTAATGCTAGGGTGAATTTGAAGCAAGTATGAGGACCAGGACATAGGCACCTGGCAGGGGTGGGTGGAACGCTAGAACCAGGGTGCTGGTGTGAGGCTGGGTTCCATAGCTCCATAAGGCTTGGGGCTGGCATTGATCTGAAATCAGAAATGAGGCAGCAGGCAGTCCAGTGTAGTATGAGAGAGAGAGGGCACAGTCCAGAAACAGCCCAGGGGTTGAATGCAAAGGAAGCAGTTATGTAAGTGGGGGTCAAGATTGAGGAGGAAGGCTGTAGGGACAGAAAGGAGCAGGCTGCAGCATGGCAGTAACAAGGTGGGGATGTCCTGGAGCAAGGCAGGGACTAAGCAGATAAGGGCTGGAACTTGCAGAAGCAAGGCGCAGGACCATAGCACAAGAGAGTCACAGAGACAACTTGTGTTGCTGTGGTAGAGAGCAGCAGGGCAGAGAGAGGCCCTGGTTTCCAGGGCCCCAGCTGGACCGTAGGATTGCCTCTCAGCAGTTCCCTACATGTGCCTGCAAAAGTATTCTTGGTTCTGCAGGCACTTGTCGGGCTAGCCAGGTCCTGGCCCTGACACTGGCACCAAGTCTCCATAATCTGTTTTTAATGGTTCAGTTGCACAGACACAGTCCATTTGTGTTCATATCCATTAATTACTAATAATCAATCCTTCTAATATTGAACTGGGGTAGTATAATGCCTGTCGGTTTAGCAAACAACAGAGTTCACAAAAATACAGTAGTGCTTTCTGCATGCTTGACGAATTCCCCAGTCGTGAAAAGATGTAAAGGGGGCAGCAGCATCTTTTCTTTGGGTCCCATTTTTTTCAGCTTTAAAGACCTCTTCAATGATGAGTGGTTCCAGGGCAAGAAATTAGCTTGCTTAGCTGACCATTAGGGTGGGGTAATAATGAACTGTTAATCATCTCTGTCTGTACTATTTGGGAAGGTGTCAGAAGAGAGGAAAGAGAAAAGGATTCTTTTTTCTTTTTTCCATACAACTCCCTCCTGCTCTACTGTATAGCAGCCCAATGCCCAATCCTTGGCTCTTGAGTATTACATGCCACAATGAACTAAAATTTCAGAAGGCTGTTGTGGAAGTAACAGGGAGTGGGGGTCCTGCTTGAGTCCCTTATAGTTAGAAATGAAAGAAAAACTGTAACTTTTTTTCTCCATTCTGAAACTTCCCTTTCCTTCTTTGCCTCAGTTAGTACTATAAGATTCCTGCTCTAGGGAACTGGAGCCCTGATCAGAAGATCAGAGCCCTGATCCTGTCTGTTGTTGTTGTTGTTGTTAGTCGCAAAGTCATGTCCGACCCATCGTGACCCCATGGACAACATTCCTCCAGGCCTTCCTGTCCTCAACCATCCCCCAGAGTCCACTCAAGCTCACACCAACTGCTTCAGTGACTCCATCCAGCCACCTCATTCTCTGCCGTCCCCTTCTTCTTTTGCCCTCTATTGTTCCCAGCATTAGGCTCTTCTCCAGGGAGTCCTTCCTTCTCACTAGGTGGCCAAAGTATTTGAGTTTCATCTTCAGGATCTGGCCTTCTAAAGAGCAGTCAGGGTTGATCTCCTCTAGGACTGACCGGTTTGATTGCCTTGCTGTCCAAGGGACTTGCAGGAGTCTCCTCCAGCACCACAATTCAGAGGCCTCGATACTTCGGCACTCAACCTTCCTTATGGTCCAGCTTTCACAGCCATACATTGCAACTGGGAAAACCATAGCCTTGACTATACGCAATTTTGTTGGCAGGGTGATGTCTCAGCTTTTTAGTATGCTGTCTAGATTTGCCATAGCTTTCCTCCCCAGGAGCAAGCGTCTTTTAATTTCTTGGCTGCAGTCCCTGTCTGCGGTGATCTTGGAGCCCAGGAAAATAAAATCTGTCACTACCTCCATTTCTTTCTCATCTATTTGCCAGGAAGTGAGAGGACTGGATGTCATGATCTTAGTTTTCTTAATGTTGAGTTTCAAGCCAACTTTTGCGCTCTCCTCCTTCATTCTCATCAAGAGGTTCTTTAGTTCCTCTTCGCTTTCTGCCATGAGAGTGGTATCATCTGCATTATCTGAGGTTGTTGATATTTCTCCCAGCAATCTTAATTCCAGCTGGTGATTCATCTAGCCCCGCCTTTCTCATGATGTGCTCTGCATATAAGTAAAATAGGCAGGGTGACCGTATACAGCCTTGCCGAACTCCTTTTTCAATTTTGAACCAATCAGTGGTTCCGTGCCCAGTTCTCACTGTTGCTTCTTGACCCGCATACAGGTTTCTCAAGAGACAAATAAGATGGTGTGGTACTCCCGTCTCTTTAAGAACTTGCCACAGTTTGTTGTGATCCACACAATCAAAGGCTTTAGCATAGTCAATGAAGCAGAGGTAGATGTTTTTCTGGAACTCCCTAGCTTTCTCCATGATCCAGCATATATTGGCAATTTGATATCTAGTTCCTCTCCCTCTTCGAAATCCTTCCTGTATTTCTGGTAGTTCTCGGTCCACATACTGCTGGAGCCTAGCTTGTAGGATTTTGAGCATAACTTTGCTAGCATGTGGAATGAGTGCAATGGTGTGGTAGTTTGAACATTCTTTAGCATTGCCCTTCTTTGGTATCCTGTTAGAATTGGGTATATGCCACACTTTCTGTTTTTGGTCCCTAGTTTTTTTTTCTGTGAGTCATGTGATGGCTAACCATACCATCTTTTGTGTAAATATTATTTCACTTATATGTTTGTGAGAGTAACTAGAATGGATCGAGGTATCATTTTTGAGCTTAAAAGATTCACAACCTTCTGTTTTCCATTTTGTTGCAAATGTAACTCTAGCTGTTCTTATATATTGAAATAATTCTTCCATATTTATTTTAAGAGTTCTTTCTTTGCTGCCCAACTAGTGAAGATTGGAAAAATAAGCCAGCGGAACATGCAGTAATGGCAAAAATAATCAGCTATATAAATAGAAGACTGGCCAAAGAATTTAATGATAAATGGAAAACTACTTATACATATTTTAATTATAGAGAAAAAGTAGTACTTACATAAAGATGACTTAGAATAGAAATAGATGAATAGAAAACCAGTTAAAGAATTTTACAATAAATGGAAAGCCTATTATACCTACTTTATTCAGCAGTTCAGAGAAAAACAGAACCTATAGATATTATGTATACAATGATCAAATTAGTATAATTGCTCCTTGAATTTGATTTCTTTTTATTATGATTATTTTGGAAAAAAAGAGGAAAAATCAGTTAACAATTGTTGCTGGATTTCTGACTGTGTTATAAGGTGAATTATTATTTACTTGATGCCCGTGTCAAAGCAATTTTATGTAATAATTATTAGTATTGCTTAAGTCTTAATTATTTTAATTAACTATTATTATTAACTATTATCTTAAAATTGTAGTTACAAATTTGATAGCTATAATAACTGTTACCAATTTTTGTGATATTTCCCACATCTAGTATTATATGTAATTTTTGTACAAAGTCCCTTGGTAACTTTTTCTTTTCATTTCATCATTTCTTTTTTTTCTTTATCCACTAAAAAAATGATTCACAATCTTACTTCACACCACTGTTCTTGGAATGAAATGTTCTATTGTTACACTGTAAAACATTATGTTTCTGTTAATATAAATTAAAATAACATTGTAGAAACCCCTTTTGCTGTGATTCTTCAAATATGTAAATGATCATAACTGATTGAAAGTAACTGAGCCAGTTAGCACCAAAATAGCTGTGAAGTTTTTTCGGTAAAATGTACATGAATCAACTGTGCTCCAGTGGACTAGTCTAAATGTTGGCATGTACTGTAGAGCCAGCAGAAGTGGATTCTCATTCCTTTTCTCCTCATGTCTGCCCCTGTAGTCCCCTTGAAATTCTGCAAAGAATCTCCTTTCTATCATTTTATGTTCCGTGCATCCCCATGCTTTTATGTTGTTGTTATATATGTTCCAAACTATCAGCTTCATTTAACACTCTGTGCTTGTTCAGTACATGTAGTACACATTTTCATATAATAATATTTATTTTCTTTTAAAATAGAACTGCAAACTCTTGAGATTGCACTATCAAATAAAGACTAGAGACTAGATTTGGATGCCAAACCTTACATGCCATTCAGCCTTTCTTGCCTTTCTCGCTCCTTTCCAGCATGAGTTGAGTGCTGAACAGAATAATTTCCATCATCCGCACCATTCAGGATTCTATTCTGATGAGCACATAGAACCAAGCGTTTTTCTGGTTTCCACTTTTTTTTAAGTACTGCTGTGCCTCAGTCCCTCCCCCATAAGAAAATGCCCTGCAGGATTGGTAGAGCCAGGATAAAAGGAACTCAGTGGACAGCAGCTAAATGTCTGACTGGTGGAATGTGTATTGAGGGGCAAAATGTATATTGCACTTGCGGATGGGTGTTTAATGCCCACAGGAATAATGCTTCTCTGGGGATCTCTGTCAGCAATCACTAAACAAATTATGTTTTTGTAATTACTTCAAAATGTTTTCTAAACATGTTTTTCTATTACAGCATTATCCGCATACCAGAGGTACTACAGTTTACAATCTGACTACTGGAAGGTCTGTATAGATTTATATATATATATTTTTTTTAAAAAAAAATCTCTTTACAGTTTTCCTATTTTATACCAGATAACTTATAGGTGTTAATGTCACAATATTTTGTCTTAAAGATTATTGGCATTGCTGTTTAGCACTAACTTTTATGTTAAGAACATAAGAATTGCTTTGTTGGATCATACCAAAAGACATCTCTAGTCCAGCATCTGTTTCCTGCACTGTCAAACTAGATGCTTGCAGAAAGTCCAAAAGCAGGACATGAGGGCAAGAGACCAATCCACCATTGCTCTGACGGTTAACATATAGCCACTGATAGCCTTATTGTTCATGAATATAGTCTAATTTGCTTTTAAAGTTACTTAGGTTTATGGTCCACACTACATTTTTTGAGAGTAAATTCTGTAGCTTAAATGAGTAAAGATGGCTTTCCTTTTGGTCCTCATCAAAGGTTTCAGTAAAAATGTAGCAGTCATGGAATAAAATACTAGATCTTAATAAGTCAGAAACTAGTTAAAGAATAGAGTGCAGAATGTAGGAATAAATGGTTTTCTTTCATCATTCATTTGCTGGGTTTGTTGTATTTATATTTTCATATGTTATGTAATGAGTAAACTTGGAATATTTTCTGCATAGACAGGGCAGACAAATATTGGGGATTCCAGTTATCATTATTATTACATTACATTTATACCCTGTCTTTCTTCCTCTTGCAAGGAATCCAAGGTGGCTTACAAGGTTCTCCTCTTCTCCATTTTATCCTCACAACAACCACTCTGTGAGGTAGGTTAGGCTGAGAGTCCATGACTGGCCCAAAATCACCCAGTAAACATCATGGCTGAGTGGGGACTAGAACCTGGATCTACTGAGTTCCAACACTCTTAACCCCACGGTGACTCTCATAGTTGGTCTTTTCCTTTACCTCATGGAGCATTTTTTTTAATGCAGCATGAGATCAGGGACTAATTTGCCACTCTTTTCATTTCGGAGCTTACCACAGCTTCAACTTCTACATTAAGAGCTTAAGAAGAAACATACTGGCTCCGACCAAAGGCCTATCTAGTCTAGCACTCTCATCTCATAGTGACCAACTAGATGTCTATATGAAGCTCATAAGCAGTTCATGAGTTTAACTGCTCCAATTTGTGTTCCCCAGCAATTGGTATTGAGAGGCATAGTGCTCTGATATTGGAGTAGATGCATAGCCATACATGACTGGAAGCAATTGATGTTATCCCCCATGAATTGGTTTAATCTTCTTTTAAAACCTTCCAAGTTAGTGGCTATCACTATAGCTTGTGGTAGTGAATTTATAGTCAAACTAGATGCTTCAGTGGTTCATATAACATGGCAAGCCATGGTGTGTGTGTGTGTGTGTTGCCATTGTTGACGTCTATCATATTGTCTAAACCCTGGCATGGTAGTTCAGCATGATACTTTTGGTTTTTAAAACTGCATATGTTTTAGTTAAGTAGTATCACAGTGGGAGCTAATGATGCAGAATACAATTTCAACAAACAAACAAAGGCTTATATTGTAATCTGAACCTGGAAAACACAACTCATCATAGTATCAAGACCAGAACCACAGAGCTGTCTGGCAAGAGTGGCTCGCTGTCACTTTTGTCAAGCAGCTAGCCAGAGAGCACCACTGATAGCTGCTATTTTGTACGACTGTCAAAGGTGTCCCTGCTCTGCCCACCACCTGCCTTAAAGACCTTTGGGTCAGGAGTAGGTTATCAGCTGGTTAATGCTGGGAAAAGAGTAGTGCTGCTGATTCTTCCACTGCCACCCCTCATGCATGCATGAAGAAAAAGGATAAGCTGGGGAATGATGCCCAGTGGGGAGCTTCCTTGCTCTGCTTATTCCCCTGCCAGCCCCTTCCCCACATTATTGCTCCAGCTTTTCAGAGGTGTCTTCCCACTATAGTGCCTACTTTACTGGGTTGGGAATGCCTCTTATAGCAAGCAGGAGTTAGAAAGGGAGGGCGAGGGCCACCTCCCTCTTTGTCACTGCTTCTTGTATGCAAGGTACTCAGGGGGATGCTGGGTTAGAGATACCTCTTCTGCAAGTGGTGGCAAGCACTGCCTCTCCCTTTGTTGTAGCCTCTTGTGAGAAAGGCTGTTGGGTTCAGAATGCTTCCTTTGGGCATACGTGGGGGAGTCAGCAGAGTGACACAGCCTTTAAGCAGACACCAGTACTAGTTGATTCTTCATCCCCTCCTGCTTGTGCACAGGCGGGAGCAAAGAGGCACTCAGCTGGAGCAGCCTTGTAGAAAGGACTGGCATGACTCCGCCCTCCCCATTCCAGCAGTCCCCTCTGGTGTGATATACCTGATTAGGATACCTGATTAGCTTCCTCATCCTCTCAGGGCATGAGTCTTATTTGCACAAAAGAAACTGTTTCACAACTGTATCTATCTGAATGTGGTTTGCAGTTGCAGCTGTCAAAGAGAACTTCATTCTTCTCCGGGCTATCACCTGGTGGTCTGAAAGGGAAGGAGGTGAGGGGAGGGAGTAAAGTTACTACCGTAAGTCTGATCATCTGTCAGTCACATCAAGATTAAAAACTGTGAACTGTGGTAACCACATAGGATTACTTGTCATGACATGTGAATGCAACCACTGTGCGAAATACTTCTTTTTGTCTATTCTGAACCCCAGTTTCTGCCTTATACAAATATTGACTTATGCAAGTATAACTATTATACAACTACCATTCCCCACCATGCATAATTTCATATGCCTCTGACATGTCCCCAATTAATTCTTTTCCTAAGTTATGAACTCCCAAAGTCTGTGATCTTCCCTCAAAGGCATTTACTCCAGCCCCTTGATTTTTTGGGGTGCCCTTTTCTGTACCTTTTATAGCTTTATAATATACTGTTTGAAGTGCACTGATTAGATTGATGCACAGTATTTCAAATGCAATCACATCATAGATTTGTACAAACAGATTATGATGTTGGACATTTTATTTGTATTCCTTTCATAATAATCTTTGAGGTGGTATAAGTGGCTTATATTGGCTAAGGTTGTTGGAAGTTGTAGCCTAAAACTCTTCCTCATGTTGCCCACCCCGTTCCAGATGCTACTCCATTATTTACTAATGCTTTACAAAGTTTTTTTCTACAAAAGGTAGTCATGATGTTTTTGTACGGTATGATAAAATTGTGTGCTTTGTGTGATGAGAGCATATGTTTCAATACAGGACCTTATTTCTGCTTCATCGATGTGCCAGCTATTGGTTATATATTGGTTATATTTATAAATAGGTGAGAATACTTAAACATTAGAGAGAATGTCAGTTCTGATTCCTTAGTTAAACATGGATCCCTTACTGTTAAAAAAAGCCAAAAAAGCATGAAGCATGTTGTGGCCCATTGGAATATTTGGCAAAGAAATAGTTGTACAGCCACCTGTCTTTCTAAAGGTAAATTTGGTTGATGCAAACTCTAGTCAAGGTGATAGTTTGGTTGCAAACTTCCTTCTAGTTAAGGAAAGTAATTGCAACTCAAGACATAGAGGCATTCATGCTAGAATAACTTTAGGTAAAACCCATTGGAATGTAACATGCTGTATATATTGGAACCCAGTGATTAAAAATGTTCAAGAGGATAGGTCATTCCCAGCAAATTCTCTAAAATTAATTGATCTTGCATAAATCATAGATAAGTTGTGCTGCCTGCAAATTTCTCTGAGCCTGTAAGTTGTGAATCTAGCAGCAATTTCAAGGCTGTTTCTAAAATACACATTTTTACAACTCTATAAACCTAGCAAGTGTTTCAAGGTGTTTTTGTACTTACTGAAATTTTTAGAGAACAGTATGTACTTAAAAAGCTGTATTTTTAAACTAATTAACTTTTATTAAAGTACATTGATACTGAAAACTATGTTGGACTTCCATTTCTTTTAGCATACTCCTCCCATTCAGGAAGGTGACCAATATAGCTTGTACTTTGGGCTGTTTTATCAGTGTGACTGGCCTTCATATATTTCTAGTGGATTGGAATGTAATGTAGACACTGAAAATAATGTGAAGGCAAATCTGTTCTCATGGACATCCCCTGAGGCAACAGTTGTCAAAACCAAGCCTGCTGTATTGTGTTACCTTCAAATGTCTTCAGCTTCTACGAGAAAATATTGTGATTTATATCCTGTATTGGTAGCTGTGTCTGTCTCAGACATGCTTTACAACAAAACCTAGTAATACTTCACAATTTTCCTAGGCTTCTTTACTTTTGAACAGAGTTTAAAGTGGATAGGAAGGGTGTTAGTGAACTGATAATTTCTGATGATGAAACGATTAAATATCTGAGAATTGGTTGCAGACAGTTTCGAGATTTGCAGGGGCTGCCCAAAAGCTGAGGCGAAAGTTTGGTGAGGCTAATGTGGTGAATTGCAATGATTAGATGTGATTATTTTAGTGTAGCAGTTACAACTTTGTGTTTACTGTACATAGAAACTAAAATTTCAATTTTAGTTTGTATTTTAATGTTTGGATGCATTTCATTTGATTCAAAACAGGATGTTTAGGAGTTCAGTTTGAAAGAGACTCTGCTTTAAACTTCTCAAGAGTGACAGCTTCTTTAACCTCATTCCTTTATAGAGCTTGTGTATTGATATAGTCTATAGAACCTTTATATTTTAGTGTATTTTATAGAGCCAGTATATGAGTATTTTTGTTTGATATGGCTATGATGTTTGAAACAACAAATACAGTCATGTCAGTACTTGTTGTTGATCTTAATGAATCTTATGTATTTCCATAATGCTTAGGTGGGGAACTTCCAAACTGGGAGGGAGGGGGGACTCTCTCATCCCACCTTGTGCAGCAGTGAGGTTTTTAAAAGCCTTTATTGGTGCCACTAGGGTATTTCTAGAGCCCAGTTGCCAAGTCAGTGATAGTTGAAGGAGTGCTTCTTGGAAGAGAAGGACCAGGTACCCTAGACTCTGCATCATGAGCCTTCTCTCAAAAGTGTCCCCATAAGCAGTGATTTTTTTT